AAAACATTCAAATTGGAATAAACATAAAATCAGAAGATAAACTGTAAGGGCTTCCCATAATTTCCAAATTTCTTTTATATGTACATTTAAAAGAAAAATAATTCTCAAACCTCAACAATTGAAAATGTGGATTTATGAAAAAAAATAGTATATCCCAAGGTATTGTTGGGAACCTCATATTCCTATCATTCATTTTTATCAATAAAAAAATCATATATATAAGAGATAAGGATATAATATTACTGGAATAATTTTACAACCACCAAAATGGGAAAAAAAAAATCAAGTCTTGGTATATTCTTGGATATATATGATATGATTTCCATCAAAATTGTAAAAAAAAAAAAATAAAAAAAAAATTAAAAAAAATCAAGTAATAAACTTATATTCATGTAAATACACATTTTAATAATTAAGAAAATAAGTGCAAATATATGCATAAAAATTCATCTATAAATAAGCGGACATTAACGGTCAAATGAACTGCAATACTAAAAAATATGTCAATCTTGTGCACACATTATTAAAATGTATCATTGCAGAACGCGCTGAGCTTACGTGGCTGCTTCTAGTGCTTCGAAATCCTATGTGACAAAATTACATGCTTCGTTATTAGGTTTGGGTAAATTTTAATTTAATTGCAAACAAAAAATAATTAGGTTCGAATTACGGAATTGTAATTTTTTTTTGTAGTGATATCACCACCGTCACTGAATATATATCATTTCAGTTTTCATTTTCAAAAGTGGTAGGTGATCACACCATGATAGAATCAACGAGTCCGGTCAGATCAAGTAACTGTGAAAAGTACATCCAATATTTAACACACAAGCGGGCTTAAACAACAAAACTGTACTTACAAACTCTTACACACACACATTTGTTTAAACTGAGACCTAACCCAATCACATAGTGCACATCTCTTTATTGTACAAACCAAGACTATCAACAGATTCTGAAAACCTTGTTTTAATTGATCTTATTCATTTTTTCCCATCAACCAACTTCCGTGTTCAGAATCTTTTGTGGTTAACTGAATAATGATGATCATGTGATGATGGATTATCGATGTTGTTGCTGTAAGATATACTTGGAGGCTCATTCGAGTGACGGTCGAAAGGCCGTTGAGACTTATTACCAGAGGCTGCTGTAATAAATCTCGTTCCTTGCTTAGCATTTTTCCTTCGAAACTGAGACGAACGAGGGATGAAAACGCCCGTGCCTTTGCTCTCGTTCTTGTTCGTTTGTCGATGATAATAATCGAGAAAGGGACGCTCTTGTCTTGCGGGGTGTATTGAGTGAGTGAGGGCCTGAAGATGTGGTAAAAAGGGAACTAAAAATGAAGGAACTTGTGATAAAATCAAATCAGTATGACACAAAAAGGGGCCAAAATTGGATAAGTACTATGAGAGGTGATCATGTTATGACTCATGATGCATGACATAAGTGGAAACAATTGCCATTATTTGTGTCTTATTAAATTAAAATAATGTAAATACAAATGTAACCTTGATGTTTCGTCTAATAACAAAAGACCTCAGTTGTCTTTAAATACGCAATTCTCAAATATGTAAGAGTAAAAAAGCAATTTTAGTCATGTATGTTTCACTATCCTAACTTTTTCGCCCTTTTCAAATTGCGTTTTTTATTTTCGTCCCGTATGTTTGCAAAAAGGTTACAAAAAGATCATTTTCACAATAAAAATGTCTTTTATGTTTGCAAAAAAAAAAAAAAATTCTAATTTGGTCCCTTATGTATGAAAATGACCTTTTTGTAACTCATTTTCCAAACATACAAGACGAAAATAAAAAACGCAATTCAAAGAGGACGAAAACGTTATGATAGTGAAACATATAGGACTAAAATTATAATTTACTCTAATTAGAGTTTTTGTTTGTTCTTTATTTTTTTTTTATGTTTACATGATTGTAGTTAAGTTTCACATGAAGAATAATTTTTGTAATAAACCAGTTTAAAGAAACAATGGCTTTCTTGAAGGTAGTTATCAATTAACCAACATATATATAAGAGATTAGATGAAAATAGGGAAATGAGTGAATTACCTGTAAATTTAGTGAAGGATGCTGAGCAAGTGGGTCATCATCATCCATGATCAAAAGAGAGATTTGCTTGCTCAAATCTTTGAAAAAAATATCATCCTCCAATTCCAAAGCAGCTTCCATTTTATTTTATTTTTTATTCTCGTGTGTGTGTGTGTGTGTGTGTGTGTGTGTGTGTGTGTGTGTGTGTTCTTAATAGAGCTTACTAGTCTTCAACAAGCTACAACAATAGTATAGGTTGTGTGTTTGTGTGTTCTTGTGTGTGTGTGTGTTCTTAAGATGCCTGTGTTTTTCTTTAAATAGAGGTGATGAACTGATGATGGGATCCAAAAAAATATAGGCATTAGTATATGGGCTTGTGTGTTGTTGGTGGGTCCCAAGAAAGTCAGTTGGTCATGCTGTCATAAGTAGTACATGGGGGTGGGCCCCACAAGGATTTTATGACATTATCACAAAAGAGTGTGTGTGTGAGTGATGATTTTCATGATATTATCCAGTTGTGGGGGGAAAACAAAGAGATGAGGAAAGGAGCTGGCAAAGCAAAAAAAAAGTTGTCCCACAACCCAGATTATGTAATCCAGAGATAGATTTTTCAATCTTTTAAGGCATATCTACTTGGTTATAAATGGTCAAACCACATTTTTTTTTTTTTT